CCCCAAAACCCCAAAACCCCAAAACCCCAAAACCCCAAAACCCCTTTTTGGCATTAACCAATTGAATTAACCATTGATGATTTTGAATTTAATCTATGCTTTTTCAGAGAAATCGGGATCTATTGGCTTCATTGCTTCTTTGGATCCAGCTGGTGGATCAAAGTTCTCATCGTACCATACTTCAAACTTGAATATCAATTGCTCCTTGAGTTGGTCAATGTTATTCTGAATGAAGAATGCGTCACCCTTGAGCGACTTGAATTTATCAAAGTTTTCTCTATATAACTTCTTGTGCTCTTTGAGCTGTCTCAAAATATTGTATTCTTCTTCATCAATTACGTCTTCTTCCCCATCAAGCTCAAGAGATTTTTGCTTTTCTTCATTTTTCTCTTCAAGTTTTGCCTTAAGGTTGTCAATATCTTTCTTAGCTCCATTGCAGACTTCTCTTAGTTTTGACATTTCTTCCTTTTTCTCTCTAAGATCACTTCTATTTGTTCTGATATCTTCTTCAAGTTGCTTTCCTTCATCTTCTTTATATTCCTTGAAAGCTTCTTGCTTAGATTTTAGTTGCTTTCTCTTTGGTCTTTTACTCTTTCTTGAAGGATGTCCCATTTCAGACCCCTCTCCTTCATTCTCCTCTTTAGATTCTTCATCATCTTCTGGTTGATGATCTCCATCGTCCATCATTTCTAATTTATGCTGTGGCTTTGATTCTTTGGGAGCTTTTCCTACTCCGAATCCTGCTGCTCCTTCTTCTTCCTCTCCAACTCCTTCTTCTTCAATGAGGGTCTTACGTCTTTCTAGCTCGGCAGGATCCATTGGAGGTTCTCCAATGCCTTCAATGCCATCTCCTGGTCTATCTCCTCTTCTACTAGATCCTACTCTAGCGTTCATTTCAAGCTTCTTATAGACCAGCTTCATCTGGTGCATCAGATCTCTGCAGTAGCGGATAGAAGGAAGGTCATCAATGTCATCGATACTTCCAGTGAGGAATTGCCTAGCAAGATCAAAAAGCTTCTCTGGAGGTTCTGGAACATAAGTCTGGTTTAACTCATGCTTCAGATCTCTGATTTCTCTCTCATACTTTTTGAGTAACACTTCTGGATCCTGATTTACATTTACAATGGCTTTGTTATGAACTCTCATCATTCTGGTGGCAAACTTACAAGTAGATATTGTCTCTTCAAGGTTAGAAATTTCTGGCCAAATGTTGGCAATCATTAATGTTTTGCAATTACCACCAATCGAATCTTTCAAGAGATTAGTTAATTTACTTTGGCGATATGGAACATGATCACGATGCTTATCACAAACTGCAACCACAACTTGTTCGAGGAAACTCAGAGATTTGTTGATAAAAGCTGCTTCTTTGAGGGTAATCCCGCTAGAGCCAGTCTTCTTGGTCCTCTCACTTCCAGCCAAGTCTACCAAGTGCAGCTTGCTCACATGAACTTTCTCCGTGCTTTCCACTCTCGACTTGCTTTCGACATGCAGAGTGAAGATGCAATGGGATCTAGACGAATTTTTGTTGAGTTCGTGCTGGCTGACCGTGCGGTTGGTGTCTCCTTCGAAGAGCAGGCTGAGGGCTTCTTCCTCATTTGCACAGGCATGCATTGTTAGACCTTTTACTTTGATATTTCCACTAATGTCTTCTACAATAGAAATATTTCCTGATTGCTCATGAGTTGGAATAGGAGAAAGCAAATCAAACATAAGCTCATTATAAATCTCAATGTATGAAACTCTAACTGTCACTTGTTGATCAAATCTTGAATCTACTTCTTGAAACATCAGAGATAGTGTTCTTGGAATGATTCCTCTATATTTATAGTTTGAAGGTCCTCCAGTCATTGAAAATGTTTTCCCTGCTCCAGTCTGACCATAACACATGATAGTACCATTGTATCCTTCCACAATGCTGGAAATAACTGGTCTTCCACAGTAATCAAAGACATCTTCTTGGCTTGAATTGTGTAATATTTTGCTATATTTAAACTGCCATGATTCCTGTTGGTTATTGATCACTCCCATTTCCTCATCCTTTAGCTTTGTGATTGTAATAGAATTATTCTCTGAATCAATCTTAATATTCTTTGAAGCAAAGTGTGCTGTTGGCCTTGTTCTGATTACCTAAATGATATTCATGAGGACATTATATTTCAGTTAGTTCAAAGATTTCGATATCCTAAGAATTGTGCAGTCAAAATGAATGATTTTAAGGCAATTCTTAAGTAATATAGTATAGTAGATGTGAATGCATGACACTGTGACAGTAATAGTATCCAAGAGACCAAATAAAAATAAATATGATAGTTCCAATACTTACAACTTTAATCGTCTCTTTTTCCATTTTAAATTTATGAATTTAGAATTCCAAATTAAAAATTAATTCAATTTTTATAAAAATAAAAGGGGTTTTGGGGTTTTGGGGTTTTGGGGTTTTGGGG